TTCGTGGCTTTCCCAAGCCTCTGCTCAAAATGAACTTTTTTACTTCTGATTGCTTTATGCTGGGTTAGCATAGTTATGAACCAAGAGGCAATGCAGACACAAGCTGACTAATGGGTGTGAGGCTGTCTTTCATTGTTCCTATAGCTCACTCTTGTAGACCTCATCTTCAGTCCAGTTCTCAGGTCCGTATGTGTGCAACCCACCTCAATTCTTGGCTTGTGACCAGACTGTTACTGTCAATGATTAAAGTAGGAACATTTTTGTTCACACATCAGCCTAGAAGATCATTCATTTTATGTATGCTATACTAGTTATCCCTCCCACCCTGTTTCTGGTGATCCTGACCTTCACAGTCTTTATACTGCATTACAGTATTGATCTATACAGAGGCACGTATCGCCACATGGAGATCTTTTTCATGTAAAATTTTAATTTTCCTAAGTAAAGGCTGGGAGAAAGAAGAGGGTTTAAAACTGTGCTAAATGAAGTGAGGCTGGAGTCTGCTTGGATGTGGTAATGTAAGCCCGTGGTGTTTCTAACTTGAGCCCAGCTCTTCCCTAGAGCTCCGGAATCAAGTAATTCCCAATAGACAGGATCACTCTTACATCAAAGCTGCCAGGTCCAAAGCTGAACGCCTTTTCTGCACTCCCTTTCCGTGATCTCATTTGGTAAAATATACCTTTATTTCCTGCCTCTCCCAAAGCAAAAGAAGGCATCATTGACTGCCACCTCCATTCTCTTACCCTGCAGTTGCCCCCAGGAATCATGGATCAGTTGATCGTGCCTCTTGGTATTTTAGGAATCTATCTTCTTTAGACAGCCACTGCTGCTCACACAAAGCTCCTTATCTTTTTTCTCTTTGAATTCTGCAGTAGCCCCTTGTCCATAAGCTCTGCCTGCCTCACTCCTCCTTGCAGCTCATCTATTCTCCACCAACAGAACAGCTGAACTAGTAAATCTGTTCAGGGCCACTCCCTCTACGCATGGCCTCACTCAGCACGGAAGGCGGTTTAGCAAGTAGCTCCTACCTGTTTCTCCGGCCTCATCTTCAGCAACCCAGGGTTGAACTTTTAAAACCTGTAATTACTACTCAGTCTTCTCGACACAAATCATTTGTCCCTGAGCCGCAGTCCTTTACGTCTGGATCTGCTATCCCTTGCCTTTTTTGTGCGTGCTGGAAAAAGCCTATTTATCTTATAATTAACCAGGAGTGAGTGGTCATCCGTTCTTTCCTCTGTACACCTACATATTTACTGCCAGTCCCGATGACTTGCTTTCCTGTCTGCCTGCCCCCCCCCCCGAATGGGTCAGAAGCTGGTACTCACATTTGGGGAGGGGGTAAGAGAAGAGAATAAATACGTAGCTAGGGGGTTACCATCGATTTCGAACCTGTGTAGGGGTTTAAATAACGCGGCGGACTAAAACGACTTCTTCAGCGCGGCAGCAGGACCTCCGCGGCACGCCGACCCCAGCCCCGCAGCGTCTGTCGCAGGGGCCCTCGACCTCACAACGGGCTGGCAGGCCGTGCGCGGAGCGAGTCCTCCAGGGCTCAGAATCGGACAGGAGGTCCCGGGCAGGCCACTGACCCAGCTGCTCGCGGTAGGGCCGGACGAGCCCACACG